TTAAGAGTTTGAGCTGTTTAACATTCTCGTAATGTAAACAAGTAGTGTACATGAACACATTGAGAGTTGTGAAGTTTTTAACCATATAATTGGTCTACATCTTATGACGGCTGACAATATATCCAAACAATCTCTTATTGAGTCCTTATTATTTGAAAATATTAATATTATTCATGGTTCCTACATTGGTCTGAAATTTTATTTGCTGAAGCCTTAGCAATAAGAAGATACAAGCCTAGTCTAAACTATGGTCTGAGAGCCTCTAAGAGCTTGCATTATTCACATAGCAGCATAGGTGCTAACTTGCTTTTGTTCTAAAATAATCGTTTGTTTATCACAATCTTATTTTGTTTATCAATTTATTTATCAGAATATCATTTGTCTCCATGTTCCGCCTACCTCTTTCTAATTGGTCAAAATTTATCTTGTATTGATTTTTGGTATGTTTGTCAGTATTTTTGGACTTAAACTATTCATTCTTGACAATATTCCAATAAAGAACGAAACATAGAATCAACTAAGGCCTCACGTCTGTCATTTTTCGGAGTCACCATACTCATATTCTATTTACGTATAATCAGTGGATCCTTTGGTTAATGTAATAAAGAAGTTTGAAATTAAAGAGGTATAAATAAACTGAGGACTAGTAGTTTTGCGTACTTATATATTAGGCGTACTTACATATTAGGGAGGTTTCACACGCGAGCGCCTACAGTTAGTGTGACGGATACGTCATTATTTTGACGTCATACGCCGGCTGCTATCCACTAAACGTGTTGACGACATGCATATCTAGCTCACTAAACGTAAGTGGAAAATGCATAGGGAAATTTTGGATTTCTAGTAGGATCTTACGTAAGTGTAAAAAATAAATGTATCTTTGAATACTTACAGTACGTGCCATTTTTGTGACATGTGAAGACAGCAAATTACGATAGGATGTGTCTCATTTTGGGGTATCAAAACGTCGGTGCTTTGACCTTGGTGGTGTCGGGATTTTTGTGTAGGCCTAGGCCTACTTGTAGCGAGGCGCTTTTGGGTCATAAACAATAGGGCCTATCACAAAATAACCAACACTTCGGGGCAACAAAGGAAATATTTTTCAGCTACAATTTTCAATTTCAATTTCCAAAACCTTACATATATCCTAATAAAACTTTGAGAAGCATGATTAGAGAAGAGAACAGATACTAGGCCTAAGCTAAGGCCCTAGGCCTAGGCTACACTTGGGCTGTGATTGCAAAAAACACGGTTGGCTACACACATTTTCGGATAGTTAAACGTATGCGTACACATTCGTTCGCGTGCGAAAACTTTCTGATATTAAAAGAGACACTTTTACAGCAGTATCAAGAGTTATTCAAGGTATGGGAAAAAAATAACGAGAAGACAGTATGACATTAATTATGAATATTTTTGCATGTTAATTGTTATGCAGATTATTCTAGCTTCTGGGAAACTTTATTATGAAGTTGTCTCTACACTACAATATTGACCTGGCTTTCGCAATTTAATAATAATTTATTCATATTTTTTTTTTAATCAAATTAAAATGCTAGCACTGTCAAACATGAATGTAGATGTGTTGAGGCTGACATTTTAAATAACAATCAATAGTCTCTATCTCAATCAACAAAATCATAACAATTAAAATAAAAAATTTTAAATATATGCTTGACAAATTTGAATATTAGGCCAAAAAAAAAATGTTGTGTTACCATCTGCGACCAACCAAAATTTTCCCACAAAAAATCGGGTCGGCATTTTTAAAATTTTTTTAATTAAGTACAAATTCGAGAAATACCACTGCCAAAATTAACATTTAGAACATAAAATCTAAAAGAGACATGTATTTTTATCAAAATCGGGGAATAGGCCTAGATGCACGCATAAAATCGGTAAAATAGAATGCATAATTTGGAGACCGAGCTCGACAAAGATATGCAAGCAACATCATATCTCTCGCGCTGAGCTGTGAAGTCACGACAAGATGTAGGCCTAGCCTATTCTTTACTACTGTACGTACAGCTATATTATAGGACAATAAATAAAAAACAGGATTAGGTTTAGCCATCGCATTAAACCCGGTACATTGCTCCGTTTACTGTTTTAGGCCAACCATGAACAAAATATTTTTCTCTTTTCTATTCCATTGTATTACATAGAGGGTGCTTGTTTGGACATTTTTCATAGCCATAGTATGGTTTGCTCGACCTGCCAGTGCATGATTGTGTGGATCGGATACACATATTATTTTATGTTTTGAAGCCAAATAAAACTTTCTTTAAACTGACTTATTTTTGTTAAATATATTTCAATATATACTTGGTTAGTATAATCCATCATACTTTTAATATTTTTTGTTTGGCAAGCTTGCCATCATTCTATTGTTGTACCTAGGAGCAATCAGCCCAAGCCTAGGGTCTTTATAATTGAGACTGCAGGTTGAGGCCTATCCTGTTTCATGTAGGCCTATTATTACTTAAAAAAAGAACAAAATAAAAATCACATCGTCTGACCGATGATCTCGATTTTTTCCATTTAAGGGCGACACAACAATTTTTTTTTCTTTTAGCCTGATAAAACAAAAATTAGAAACCATAATAAACAATAACGAGCTGTGTAGTGTTAGTGGCTAAGTCTAGCCAAAGGAGTAAGACTACAAATGTTACACTAAGTTCAGTGCCGAATCCAGAACTTCAAAATAGTGGGGTCCCGGGACTTTTACAGATGGAGAGTATGGACCATGGAGTTGAGGTAAGAAAATTAATGATTATGGCATATCTAGATGGCCGTAATTGGCACTCTCAGAGCTAAACTTTATTATAATTTGGCATTTTTTTCCCTATTTTTTTAAAATAATTTTTAAAAATTGAAGGGTCCCCGGCTGGCTCGGCCCTCCTTTGATGCTGCCACTGAAGTTTGTTGAATTTGCACAAACTGGCATAAACACAGTTGGCTTACTTTGCTATTGCTGCTCTACTAAGTTATTTTTAAAAATAATGATAAAATTTGTCATTTACATTAATAATTACTGGGTCATGGATATACAGCTGGAAGAAATTGCTTGGCACTGTTCGTTGTTTGCTGACCTGTAGCTTGGGTTTTGATGAAAAGTTTCTTCCTACATTATATTCTTTGTTTGGATCTGCAGAGGACAAGGGATTTCATCCCTGAGCAGTCCCCCAGGATAAATAATAAAAGAAAGAAAGAACCAATATTCGTTCACTTATATACAGTAATGAGGGTGCAGTCCAACCCAAACATAAACAATTGGCAAATTTGACTTATTTTAATAGCCAGTAAAATTACACTGTGTAATAGACCAAACTAGCGATCAACGATTTTCAGCTATAATAGTGGGTATTCGAACCAAACAAACGCACGAAGATTTACACAGTAATTTAAGAAAATAGCCTTTACTAAACGTCTCATACACGCTTTGTGTTTAAAGTTGAGCGTGATTTAAATTTACAGAAACCATTGTTACATGTTTATGATTGTAACGTTATCTTTTCTCTACGATTGTGTATGCCAAATGTGAAATATAACGAAAATAAATCGTACTATTTTGGGAATAAAACGTACATTGGTCGTGTCTGCCTGTGTTACAGCACGACGACGGCAGCCGTGTATTCAGTCACAGTGAATCATGGCGTTGGTCGATGAATGTGCTTGTTGCAAAACTCATGAAATGTGTTGTACTTGCAGATTTCAAGTTATTCAAAATTATTGAATAATGTTCTTAAATTCACACCAATAACCTTGGCAGACTGCACGGAGTTGAACTTTTACAGTCAGGCCTCACTCAATCATCGCATCCAGCCATGTCGCGTTGTCGTGCAACAAGTGTCAGGGGCCGAGGCCTAGCCTGTAAAAACTCTATGTATATTTAACTTAATTTTACATGAAAATCAAATCAAACATCTTCTGATGGTTCTATGAACCTTCCTTAACCTACCAATGTTTTAAAAAGTATTTTACCCGCGTACTTTGGTTTTTTTGCTTGTTTTCCTGGACCATACAAAAACTCGCAACGACTTTTAGGCTTTGTTTACAATTTTATACACACTCGGCCAAATTGTGATGACGTCATCTTTCGTCGCTAATTCGGTCTATTATTATAGCCCATAGCTATTAAAAGTGAAATATTAGCACCCCCTGGTAATACAGAGTGTGCAGTTATTTCAGTTGCTTTCAATGTGTGTGAAACAAAGATGACTAAAACTATGTAAACATAATATTTAAATTTTTAATGGCTGAAAGTGGGCAAGGAAATCTTCTTGCAGTTATAAAACTGCTGAAAATTTCTTTTCAGAGTTTACCTCTGACCATAGAGAAAATAGAACAGAGCTCTGACTGAACAAAGATTGTGTTGCTTGCACAGATTGAAAAATGCAATTTGATACAATGTGGATGCTTAGGCATAAACTTACCATTTTAAAGGCATTTTTTCCCTTGAGAAAATTTCACTTTTTATACCCTTGAATAATATATCATTGTGCCTCTACCACTTGGTACTTAACAACTGCCGACTTGAATGAAAACATTACAATTTCTGAACAAAGGCTTGGCAACAAAGTTCCATTCCTTTTCACCAGAACAAAAATGTCTGGGCAGTGCTCTGTTCTGATTGAATCTCAAAAATAGGTTCCTAAGTTATCGTAGGCTTACTGCTAAAATAGTTTAAATCAACATATAAATTATCAAAATAGCCGACAATTAATCATGTAAATTTTAGAATACTTAGGCCTAGGCTAGCTAGGATTTTACAGTACGTACATGAACATGGAATGGTACGATTACCATTCAGTTGTCAACAGTAGTAACAGTGGTGGAGATGATTCAATATTAAAGCTAGCCTAAAACAGAGCTGCTGAAATTTCCTAGTGAATACTTGGGTAATACGACATTATCGGTTGTTTTATAAAACTATGTATAGTGTACCTGTGACGCACAGGGTGTCCTCTGAAATATAAGAAAAATGTCAGAAAACATACCGTATTAAAACACGTATACTGATTGAGCCTGCAGCGTTCGTGTTGTGGAACCAATAATATTGCCCTTTGTTATGTTATTGTACGTCTCTGTCTGTCTATCCGTCTGCTGCCCTCATTTTGCATTTCTATTTCGTCTATTCTTCTTTGACGCAGGGACGATCACGTACCAGTCCGGGAATTACTAGCCCAGCCAGTTGATGTAGGGCCGTAACAGTTAGTCATGACTTACAATGATTGAAAAGTAAATTCAGTTTCATAGTTAAATTGCCTAACTTATATATCTAAAAATTTTAAAAACTTTGGTGTTTTCCAAAATTTCTAAGTACAGTAAAATGTTATCAACATACTAAACAAAACGGACAGTTGACTAATGTAATACCTTTTCTGAATTCATATAGACCCCCAGTTCTTAATTAATTAATTTGTTTAAAGGGCCAAGTTATTTTAGAGTTGATCTCACGGGCGCGCCAAAGATTAGCTCCCATGCCCGCACGCAGGGGTGCGACGGTGCGTACCCACCTATCCAAATTAATAAAGGTCCACTTTTCAGTCGTAAAAAATCAAGATACACCTCGCACGTTCCAGAAATCGATCCACCAAAATTCCTTGACCAATCAGAAAAGTTTCCAACTAGGACTGTCTCTAATTCGCCGTACAAGCAAGGACTTTTAACTGTATTTATAAGATTTTTGAAGAATTTTAGTGTTTTTCCCTGACGCTTGCGTGTCAATGACTACTGCTTGCAGACATTTCTTCTTCTAGATTTCACTAAAATTATCTTCGTTTGAGTATGAGAGTGCCATTTCCGGCCATCTAGAGGTGTCATAACGGTAAATTTTTTTACCATCTGTGAAAATCCCTCCCTAGCCCGCCCAGTCCCTCATTTCCTGAATCTGTCACTGAACACTTTAATACTGTTGATAGTATCTTCAGAATCAAAGAGAGTTTATATGGCTTACAGTGGTCAAAAATGTGTTTTAGACCACAATATTAGGGATTGGCAATCAAAATAACGTTATGTGGATAGACAAATTATTATTATTTTTTTTTAATTTTTGATCCGACGACCTAGTCGTGCGTCGAACGACAGGGGGTAGAGTAGAGGCCTGTACAACGGGGGATGTCCACCGCTGGCGCCACCACTGGGCAATGCCGTAAGGTTTTGTGTCCTATCGCGAAAAATCCAAAATCGTAGTTTTCAAACTTTCAATCAAACCTCCGATTTTCTGCGTACTAATAATTAAAAAAGCTAGTAAGCAAAACCTCCGAAATCGAAGGGTTGGTTAAAAGTTTGAAAACTCCGCTTTCGGAGTTTTCGCGCAGCAATACGCAAAACCTCCGAAATCGGAGGGTTGATTAAAAGTTTGAAAACTCCCATTTTGGAGTTTTAGAGTATGTGCGCAAAACCTCCGAAATCGGAGGGTTGAATTAAAGTTTACTTTTCGAGTTTTCACGTATAGTATTGGTATGCAAAACCTCAATCGGAGGGTTAAGTAAAAGTTTTGTTCTCCCTATATAGAGAGAGCTTTTTTAATTAAACGTATTCTAAGAAAAACCTCCGAAATCCGTATTTTGCTGATGCGGAAAAGCTGTATCATAAACTTTGGCTACTTTAACCATATACAGTCTTTGAAGTTTAAAAATACTAGTACAGTAACTTTTAGTAGGCCTACCCTGTATATTATACAAATGTTTTGAGAAATGTTGCAAGCCTTTATGCTATATTTGTGTGTAGTTACTATGTAATAATGGGGAGAAAACAACTAGGCCTATACCGTATCATTTTGTCTTATATTTTACTTTTAATACCGTATCCGTTTTTGATGATATAAAAATGAGTGGAACATATCATATTTGTTTGATTTTTTTTTAAATGTCATAAAAATTAGTGTGTTCGGAATTCGAAAGTAAAGTTTAAAAGTGCTGACACTCAGTATCGGAGCCAATTGTTACACTGTGGCTGTTTGACGTCCTCCTCCTGTGTGGATTGTCAGATGTTTCAGATATGAACAAAAATGTATGGGCAACAATCAAGCATCTTTGTGTCTTTGAAACGCTTCTTGACTTAGCAAGGTTCCGATAAAAAAATAAATTAAAAAAAAAAAGAATAAGCCGTATCATCAGCACGACCACATATCAGACCATGTTATTCAATTATTAGACACCAAAATATCTTATTCAGGACTCTCAATCGCTAATTATAATTTATAGGCCTATATTAATTCTCTTTTATTCGAAAGGTAGACCTACATCCTTACAATGAAAATACAAACTCAGCAAGTTAGTATAATTACATAAACGCAGGGAATGTATATGTGTGAGTCATTTTCTCCAATGATGAGACGGAGCTGAGAATCAATGTCAGTCGAACATAAATGATAACCCGGTCTAGATCATTCTGATGAATAACATTATTTATCTACTGCCCTCTATCATAAATCCTCTCGCGGGACGACAGCTACTCACCACAAAAGAGTCAACAAGTCAGCACTCATCTTCGTTCGCAGTGCAGAAAGATGGCATCAGAGGCCGGTGGTGCAGCATATGGTAGCGTAAATAGAAGTGAGAAAGGTAAGTTTCTTGCAATGCTTTATTCATTTTGCAATATGAATGTGTAATGTTTGTAATGTATACTTTTCCAAGGTGAAATGAGATAGTGTTGTTGCTTAATATCAAACAGCGATGAAATGAATTCAACCTGCTTCTAATGTTTACACTTTCAATCAGCGTCTGTTATACACGGGTGACAGTGGTGCAACGCCTAAAATCGAGGCGATGTTCACACCCTCAATGCCCTGTCAGTAGTACCTCTGTCATTTTTGTTCTTATCGGTTGTTTATTACTAACACAGAATTTGATGGTTTCTAGTGTCTTCTTCACCAGCTTAAATGTTTAACTTTAACACTACTGTAACCTTGTTCAAAAATTATCCCAAGGCCTAGGACTAGTAGGCCTACTACTATACTAGTACAGTAGTAGTACGGTAGGTACTGTGTATGTCGGCTACTATTGGTAGTGATTTGTTACTAAACAAAACAAGACACTCAATTGTTGGGTTGAGATATTTGGCGCTAATGAACTCCTAACTTTTAATTCTTAATTTTTTTACCTTAATTTTCTACTCACATAATTAATAAATATAATAAATAAATAATAAACACATAATTATAAAACATTTTTACATGATTCAACCACTCATAAAGTACATTTTTTCAACAAAAAGATGCCTTTAAATTATAGGTTGATAGAGGGCACGACGAGCTGTATTTTTTTGCAATCAAGTAAGAAATTGCCAGAATGTCAGTCAATTCTTAAATTTTGAAACCATTAAAGGCCAGTCTTATAATTTTAATCGGAATTTTCCTATGAAACATCCAACAACAAAATGTGGCATCATGCAGTACCATCTTTCTGAACTTTCTTGTCATAATCGAGGTTAATTGAACCAACGTTTATCATTGGCTTTGTTTTTCTGGATTTAGGCCTAGGCCCTATTTTTCGATCTGTGTAAGCAATTTGGATCATTACTAATTTTTGAAGTAATTATTGTATGTGTGAATTTCATGTCAACACACATAGTCAAACAACAGCACCATACAATATAAAGAATGACATACAAACGGCAAATAGATAAGTTTTCATAAACCTTTAATCAAAAAAACTTAACGCAGCAAACTCAGACATTCTGGCAATTCCTTACTGATTGCCGCTCGTCGTGCTAGTGAACACAGATTCGCTGTACTTATTTGTGGGCTTATTTGTTGAAAAAGGCACTTTGTGAGTGGTTAAATCAAGTGAACATGTTTGTTAATTATATGCTGTGACTGTGAGAAAAACATTGAGGTAAAAATATTAAGAATTAAAAGTTTTGGCAATTTTTTACTAATTGCAAAATGGCAGCCGCTCGTCGTGCTAGCGAACACAGATTCGCTGTACTTATTTGTGGGCTTTAATTTGTAGAAAAGGTATTTTGTGAGTGGTATCATGTGAACATGTTTGTTAATTATGTTGTGACTGTGAGAAGAACATTGAGGTAAAAAAATTAAGAATTAAAAGTTAGGTGCAAAAGTGCATTAGCACCGAGATATTTTATATTTTTTTAGACTGTTTGTTTGTATTTACTACTATAGTATATTGATGTTTAGGCGAGAAAATTGTTATAGGCCTACTTGTTTAACAAACTTTATTTATGAATGATCAGAGTGACAAGTAAAAATTGAGAAAGGACAACCTAGGCCTATGTAAGCTTTTGCTCTATATCTCACTGCATTGTTGAATAAGGCAAACCCGCCAAACGCAAATATTGTCGATTTTGAATAAAAATAAAATTTTATTTTTGGCCAATTAGCGCACCCGCCACCACAAAAAAAATGAAAAATTGAAACGTCATAAAAAAAAAATAAAAGTTTCAAAAAAATTTTTATTACACCCTCCGCTGCCTTGAAATCTCCAAAGATGATATTTTCTTCCTAATTATATAAATTTGAAGCATCTAACCATCCCATTGTACATTCACCAATCAAATTTAATTTTCATTTTCTTGTCCGTCTCGAAGTTTTTGGCAAAACTATTTGCTAAATAAGAAAACAAAATATTATTTTTACTCTGCCCTCCTCTGATGATCTTTAAAAACATAAGTATGCGAAACAAGGAATAAAAAAAGTCTGGCCTAAGCAATGTGATGTGGTCAAGAAAACAGATCAGACCAATTATTGCTTTAAATTGGGAGATTGGTGGGTTAGAACTAGAAAAACATATATTACAAACAGGCCAAAAATAGAAAAGTATTTTTATTTGTATGCATTTAATTTAGGAGAGATATCTCAACTGATATATATACTAATTTTAAAAATGAGGAACAACATGGGATGTGTGCCAAGATCTGTATCTGGGACAAACAGCCTGAAAATGACCACACCCTTTTTTAAATGACCATGCCCCTTTTTCACTGGAAGTGCTACTTTAAACAGTAGGCTAGACAATATGAACAAAAATTTGGTTTTCTTTTGTAAAGAACACATAATGAGGGGATCACATTTCAGAAATCTCATCTTAATCACAAGTCCCATTCATATGAAAAGTTAGCTTAACTATGCAAAATAAGGGCCATGCCCCCTTTTTGACTGGAAGCACTACTTTGTAGGCTTAAAATAGCTTGTCTAGCACTTCCAATGAAAAAGGGGCATGTCTATATTTAAAAAAGAGTGAGGCTTTTTGTCCTGGATGCAGATTTTGGCACGCATCCAAGTTGTTACTAGGGTTGATATTAGTCTATATCAGTTGAGACATTCTCTCCTAAATTAAGTGCATACAAATCTTAGTCAGGTTCTCTATTAACAGAATGTTGGATTGATATGCAGTGATTAATGCTTCTGATAAGCTGTTGCCACTTCAATTGACTATGTCTTAGGGTAATAGGGTAATAACTTACTATCTACAGTAGTGAATTTTTATTGCTGTGTTTTGATGTTTTCTTTATTAGGATGTTTGTAATATTGATAGGAATAAAAAGTAAATCTTTTCAGTTAAAAAAAAAGGAAAAAGAGTGTGTATATTGTGGGTCTATGCATATTATGCTTTAAAACTAGAAGATTGTACAGTATATGTCAAATCAAATTAATTGTTTTAAAAGTTCTGAATGCTAATTATCAATTAAAATTAATTATTTTCTCATGTTGTGGCCTACTATATATACAGTACAGTATGTTGTTATTTGTGGATTTTATATCATACTGTAAATGAATGAATGAGTGAATCAATCAAACAATCAATCAATTTGCAGTTGTTGCCATAGTCAATGTTACTGAAGTAATTGACACCAACCACTTGAAATGGTACTTATCATCATGTTTAACAATTATTTTGTTCATACCGTTCTTTGGAAATTATTCACGTGCAAATATTAACTCTCAAATATTAATTCTTGATAAAGAGAAAATATTGCATTATTAATAAAAAAAACGCTGATAGCCAACAAGTGGCAGTGAAAGTAATTAAACATTAATTTATCGATTCATTCACTCATTCGTGAGATGACAAAATATAGAGTCAAAATTTTTAACTCTCAAATATTAAATCTTGATAAAGAGAAAATATTGCATTATTAATATAAAAAAAACGCTGATAGCCAACAGGTGGCTGTGAAAGTAATTAAACATTAATTTATCGATTCATTCATTCATTCATTCATTCGTGAGATGACAAAATATAGAGTCAAAATTTGGCGGCACCAGCAAGGTTGCTTAATCCCCATCAGACATGCCATGTCCCTTTCCCCTGTTAGCCAAGACTCCATTCTGCCAAACCAAAATAATTATTTTTTCAAATTCTTTGGGTATATAATATTATGTTAAAAAGTCTTAGAACACCTTGGCATAGTTTCTCAAGATGCCTGAATGTTTATCCTGGACCATAACCTGGGCTTTGTCCTTGGACACACTAGCCTCTACTGGAAATTGTCAGACTTCCCTGTTAGATGGCTTTCATTCTCTTCAACCTCCTCTCATTCCCCTTTCCTTCCCCTCCCCTTCCCTTTCCCTTCCCTCCCCCTTCCCCTTCCCTTCTCCCCTTCCCTCCCTTCTCCTCCCTTGACCTGCCCTTCCTTTCCCTTTCCCATCCCTTCTCCTCTCCCACCCCACCCATTTCCCATCCCCTCTCCCACCCCATCCCTCCCCTCCTGAATGTATATCTTGAGCCACCACTGGTAGGCCTACACTATGGCAATTGTGCAAAATCGGTGGAGATTCAGAAATTTGATAAAGGTTGGATAAGCCAATATTTGAATCTATTTTTGTCTACTATGAATTTTGTCTAATGAATATTTATCCTTCTCCTGTTGGTCATTTACACCTCTATACACACTTCCAGCAAGTAGGAAGTAGAGACTTATTGTGAGCATGGCAGGTTCAGAGGAAGCTACTTTTTTATACAATTTTTTGCAATTTTCGATTGGATTCTTCCATTATTTTGATTGATATCGTTTAGTAGTATAGAGTATTGATTTTGATTTAATAGTTTACACCGTTTCCTTTTTGTTTTTGTAATTTTCATCCACCTTGTGTTTATATACAATGTGACAGTGTGAAGAATCTATATCCCATCACAATGGCACAGAACCTTGATGCTAAGATGTTTGACCCTATCGACGGCAACATATCAGGTCAGATGACAGTTCACTGCAGTGAACCTAAATGCTGCATGTTAGCGGTCAACTGCATGATAGCGGTCAACTGCATGATAGCAGTCAACTGCATGGTAGCGGTCAACTACATGATAGCTGTCAACTGCATGTTAGTGGTCAACACCATGGTGCATGTTCATCATTAGCATGACTTTACTGCATGAATTTTATTCATATGATTTTGTTTGTATCCTTGAAAAAATCCTTAGAAAAGTTCCACGGTAGGTGCAATGTTTGCATTGCACAATATAACATTTTGTTACTGTAGGTCACACAGTCTCTGTAAAATATCTCAAGCAACATTTCACAGATAAATTAGTTTGCAATGGATCATGAAATATTAATGAACATGAATCTTGATTTGATCGTAGCTTTGTAGCATGATACAGGACATGATTGAATTTCAAGATATTTTACACATGAAACTTGTTCAGGTTCCATCCATCTTCTTACCTTTGTGCACGTTGTCTTCATCCATCATAAATATATTGTCACCTCGAATTGAACTTTGTCATGGAGAGTATTTGAAATAGACTCTGTTGTTTTTGATATTCTAATGAATTAACTAATTCAAAATTTCTCTATTTTTAGCATCTTTACCTGAGATTCTTTCTAAATGTTTCTAGTACTATGTCTAATGATTGACAAAATTAATGATCAATTATTGTCTCAGTTTGAATAATAATATGTCTCCTTGTTCTGCAGTATATATTTATAATGATATATAAATATGAAATTACTATACTATATTTCTTCTGTATACTGTTACACTTTAAATCTTATTTAAAGGTGAACTGTCTGCCAAAAAAAAAAAAGAGAGAAAAAAACCCTCTAATTCTATTTAAATTTGCATTTAAAAGTATCAAATATGTTACAGTATTTCATTTTAATACACAAATTGTTAAATTGATTAGAAGCCAGTATAAGGGTCTATGCTCTCAATTTCACCTTTTTCAATTATCTTTTTTTATAGCACTGTGAGACCATATGTGTAAGAGCGCTTAATAAATATTCAAACAATTATTATAATGCAGCGAAGGTATTCTTTAACTCTCCATTAATTGCAGGGAAAATGTGTTCACATATTGAACAATTATTAATTGTAAAATAATAAGCAATTAGTAGAGTTCCGCATAGTACACTATAGGAAAATTGTTATACGAAGTTTAGATTTAATTTAATGCTTGAAAAAATTTCCTGAGGGCCTGCAAGGCCCAAAGGAAATTTTTGAATGCATTAAATCTAACTTAAGTATAATAATTTCCCATTTAGTGTACAATGCATGCTCTACTAATTGCTTTATAAGTCAATCGCTGTCTTTTAATTTTAGTTTTTTATAACCAACTGTTGTAGCAGTCATTGGTTGCTATAGTAATATGATCAGTATACGTGTGCGTATTTACATTTAGCTGTGCGTATGCTGATTTTTGCTCCTGCAGTACGCGTTTAATTAACTACACATCAGCAGTACAGTACGGATAAGATGAATAACTATTGTGTTAGAAAGAACTTATTTGTAATGCTATTTTGATAGACTTTCAGCAAAGAAATAAATATTTCAGCATTCGAGAGAGAATACAGTCAGTGACGTCCTTTTTGGTCGGTGCATGCAGACAGGTAAAATCGTGCGATAATTTCATAACTAGGCTAGGCTACGGCCTAGTAGTATTAGGGGGAGGCTCGGGCGGCCTCATGCCTGGCCGTTCTCCTACATCTAAATTTGTTTCTTGAGTCTTTAAAATAGGTCTAGAATATTCCTGTTAAACGTTCAGTTTGTTGTGTTTATGAGGGTCCATTGATTCAATGAATTCCTTAATTTTTCATACTTAATATTGAATTTGAAGTAACTTTCTTCGGGTTCTAATTAAGCTTGTTTTATGAGAGTTACAATTCAATTCAATTTTTATCGCGGTACGCGATGTATTCGCGGTGACGAAAAAATGAGGAAATTTTTTTTGCACACAAACCTAAAAAAAATCAAGCCAAGCGTCCACTAACAGAAAAATTAGTGGACACTGGGGAATAGGCAAATAGCATTTGGAGTTACAGTGATGATTGACTTATTATAAAAATTACTTAAATACTATACATATTGGTACAATTTAAATATGGAATTAAATTTTTTGATTTTTTTAGCTCATGGCAGAAAGTACATCTTTAAATTTCTCTTGTCAGTTTTCTGCTATTATCATCGGTGTTAGTGTACTGTAGATTAATCCCATAATGCATTTATGTTTTTTCTTTTCTATGCTTCTACAGATTCGTCAAACTTCAGTGATGAATTAAGTCCGTTAGAAGGTGGTGTAATCTTAAGCATTTTACTTTACATTCTGCTTAATTTTAATTACTGTATGGAAATCTTACGCAAAGTTTTTTTTTTACTTTAGTGTATTAAAAAGAACCTGATGAATGTGGAGTGGAGTTGAATAGCTATTAGTGGGTTCAATTCCTGTAACAGCAGGACTTCCCGAATATAAACAACTCCACTCCCTTAAAGAGCCCCATAAGCTTTATTTCATCTAAAGCCTATTTTCCACTAGGGGAATTTATTCACGCTAATCGAAGGCGTCGGTTAGGTTCCTAAGCTCTGATTGGTTGTGCACTTTCTTCACTTTACAAAAAGTAGAAACTGTTTGAACTACTGATTTTGCTGAAGTGAAAACTCCGATAGAAATATGCATGCGCACGAACCGACGCTTTCGACTTGCGTGAATAAATTCACATGTGAGAAACAGGATTAAGATGGCCCCTGAATATCAGCCAACCTTCTAAAATATGCTGGAAGGATCACCCTTTATTATGTTTAAAAAAATTTAAAAATAAGATTAAGTAAATGGAATAAACTAAAATTACAATTCAAATCTTTAAAAATGATACGTTAGAATAGATGGAATACATTATTGTTTACTATTTAATATTCAATTTTAATCTGCATCAGAGGAGATTTTTGTATAGCTTGTGGCTCCATAAGAAATAATTTTGAAAATAATTAGAACTTTTATATTCTCATTTATGAAGAAACATAGCATTGTAAATTACAATGATAAATATTTGTAGAAATTTTAATATGAACAAAGCCACTTTCAGTATATTTTCATGTAATATAGTACATCATGATAACTTGGTGTATATTTTATTTAAACCATAGCAACACTGTCAACATGCACATATTTTTTTAAATCTATTATTTTTTCCTCAATTTAATGAGAGCTCTGCACAAGATTTCCGTACCACATAATTTATTCGTTGGTGATGGCTTCCTTTCACTTGTGTAACAGTATTCTTGCTAAAATCATTTTGTCGTATATCTTGCAATTTGAGCAGAGCAACATGTTTCAAATGTCATGCCAATTACAAAAAACATTTAGCAGCAGATTGCATTTCAATAACCATAAAATGTGGTGTCAAAAGGTTTGATCTTGTGTTATGTAGTGATTCATTATTCATCTTATAGTAATTACTGCAGAGGTAGTGTTACTGTACATTATTATCCTTCATATAATTTGGTTGTTGAAAGGATGTCATAAGTACAGTAGATACAATTCAATACAAGTCTCATACATACCATACTCTACATATTTGAGTTCATTAGGTGCCATTCTTTTAGCTTTTTTTAATTTTTTTTATAGTAGTTACGATGTTCTCCATTTTTGCATAATTTGTAATGATAGTGTGAAATTTGCTGTTGAGTAAAGTTAACTCATGCGATTATAGAATTTTTTTTATAAACATGTTTTGTTAAATATGCTAGGTCTGGATTTATAATAATGTAAACCTACAGTATACTTATATACACAACCTTAAACCATAGACCTATATCTCTTATAATACCATGTAAATGAGATTAAGGACAATATTTTATTATTGTATTAGGCTTACTTAAACCTATCCAATTATCCTGAGAGTTGGTAATTTTTTCTTTCCCTCCCTATCTGCCGTTATCCTAACAATTCTGATTTATTCTCCACTTCATTTAGACTGAATACAGTCTGAGTAATATTACAGGAATGACACCTGCTTTCATTTCAAACATCACTAGAACACACCATATAGGAATATTGCTGTAATATTACTAGGTTTGTGATGGAACACTGTGTAACCCTGATATTGCATTAACGGTTGGTTCTCACCTTTTCCTACAGATGGCAATGCTGCGAATATTCCTACAATATTGTGGTAACCTACAGTAGCTCTATCTAAAGTGGCTTGTAAAACCACTATGTCTTGAAACATTATATATTCCACCATGATATCAAATATTTACATTGCACTTTTACTGTTGAATATTCTCAGCATTTATGTTTTGTTGAATGGAAAATTTAATCAATTCAAATAAAGTAAATTCAAATTATATTAAACCATGGACAGCAGTGTCATTGAGGTGGTGTATATAGGCCTAACCATGCAAAGATACAAATCCATGCAGTATTATATACATGCTCGCAATATTTCTTGCATACTCACAATATTATAGCATCCGTATATTATAATCAGATTGTTCCTTTACTGAGCCATTTTAAAATCTATTGGTTTCTCTCTCAGACCTGTAATAATTTTGAGAGACTTTATTAATAATATTTAATTATTTCCAGATTTGCCAAGTGGTATTTTACTATATAACAATTTAGTTTTAGTATGTAATAATAATAATAATAATAATAATAATAATAGTAGTAGGTTTTTATAGCGCTCTGCTACACTAAGTCTCAGAGCGCTTTTCCACATTATTACCCCAGCCATTAGAACGATGACAATGGGGAAAATTCTGTAGTTGCATGAAATATCATCAATGCATTTTTGCACTCGAACCTCCCCAGGTACTGATTTATACTCCTGGGTGGAGAGGAGCAATGCAGATAAAGTGTTTTACTCAAGGACACAAGCGAAAAGAACAGTGCAGGATTGAAACCTAGACCTCGAGGTTGGGAAACCAAACCATTGCAAAACCACTTACACAGTAATAATGTACCTAGCCTATTACATTTGTTGAAAGTGGTATTAAAACAAGTACTTATAGTTTGATATCAAACCTGATTTGAAGTCTTAAAAATATTTAAATGTAAAGAAAATATAATGTAATATATTCCTATGTATGTTCCTTATAGAAGTGGATGAGGAAATTCAGATTAGGCCCCTGGGGATTCGAAGCAGCCACAGTACCACGCCTACTATGCCAAAACACTGAGACAGTCCACCCTTTTTTGTGCACTTGTGATTTATGCACACAGAAGCAAAGGCTTAAAATTCCATCCAAATGTGAAATGACTGGCCAGGCTTAAAATACTTGAAGACTATAGGACAAATGGTGACCTCATAGAGACAAACTGTTTTGACCCACAATAACCATGATCGTACTACAATGGTAGATGGCGAAAGAGGACAATTACAATTCTTTGGTTTGGGTGCTACCTTGGTGTTTTTTGTCTTTTCCTTGCTTTTTATTTCGTCTGTTTTTTTTTTCTTACCTATTGTCAAGCGCATAGAGATCTTGTTTATTTGTGCCATATAAATCCATTATTATTTATTTACAAAATGGTCAACCAAATTTAAATCTAGACACCAGAAAGGATTTCTGATGCACCAGTAGCCATAGTCAAATGTTTGTCAAATGACTGGAACAAACTGATCTTTCCCACTTTAGTATGGTACGCTTCAAATTACTAAACGCATCGGTTTTAGAATGGTAAATTTTATTAAAAAGAATGCCGTAGAATAAAACATGTAGTTTAAAGGCCTATAGAAAAGCATGGGAACAGAACCCCTGACCTCAGGGTTAAGAGGATAAACTGCAATTGATGCACCACTTCCTCATTTTGCAATTTAGTAGTCAATCCAACTGTGGCTTAAACAACAAACACCAGTATCAAGCATAGGCCTACTTGTCAGGTTATGTTGACCTACACCCACATGAAGTGTGCAAACAGTCTAATATTGTAGCCACTATTAATGACTTTAATTTACATTTTGCAAATTGTAGATATCCAGTGAGCCAATCACTTTGTGTACTCATACCAGTCCTTTGCCAAACAGAGGACAAGTAAGCCACCACTTTGTATATCGTTGATTTACAAGTTGAAATACCTTTTACTAAAGTACCAACAAGTAGTCAAATCAAACCTGGGTTGATACTGTAGACATAGTAGAAGTTGTACAGCTTGATCTGCAGCCCCTACTGAAGTCCCAATTACTTTTAATACATCAATAAGATGTCCCTGGTTATGTCATTTGGTATGCCACTTCATTCCCTGCTAACTTGTATGATAATCAAGTTAGATAAAGGTGAATCCTGGAGTGGGTGTGTACAGTAGGCCTACCATGTTTGTGTGCTTTTGCGTACTTAACACATGGTTGATTACATCCATAGATATCAGTTTTATCATGGAGGTATAAAAATATTTTTATACCTCCATGGTTTTATAGAGTCGGTTGCTGGGTTGTTTACGTTGATACCATCTTCTACATACCTGAGAAATGGTATATAGACAGTACACAGAATATATGTTATAGACAAAGCTTCCCAGATTTTTGTAGTCATAATGTAACTTGGATTACAGTAGTACTGTATAGAAGGAGAGTGTTGTTAACAGTTCTGCAAATATTAAAATGTGATTTGGATTTTGTCTAGATTTTTCTGCTGATGAAGTTGTGTGAATGTGTGTGCTATTTTGTAAACTCCTATTTTGAAGCTTAGTGAATGCAGTTGCTTTTATCATAATAAAACATTTTTCAAGTTTATAGCAGTTTTGGATTTGAAGGAAATAATCTTTTATGCACCAAGCAATAGTTCCACTCCAAATTAGCAGCAGATTTTATTTATTTTAATTTTATTATCTTTTTTTAAATTTTTATTTCATAAACTGTATTTCGTAAAAGATGAAATAATTTATAATTTGGAAAAAAGCCACTTATTCTATTAGATATTAAAAACCTCACATCAAACCCAGAGGGCAATCCTGTGAGTTTACAGTATACTATAGGCTTCAAGCTGTTATATGCAGTTGGTTGATATTTAATATTTGAAAATACAATAATTTTATTATTTACCATAGAGTATGTCAGTACAGTACATATTTACTGACATATTTACCACATGTCAGTACAAATATATAATTGATTTTTTACCATAGATTATGTCAGTACAGTACATATTTACTGACATATTTACCACATGTCAGTACAAATATATAATTGATTTTTTACTAAAACTACTTGATTATATCTTCTGTAGTATATAAGACTTTTAATTAATCAGTGTCCCTATTCTATCAAAAGAGCAACATACAAGGGTAGTTGATAAAAATTAGTTTGTAGGTGAACCATGTATTGTGATGAGCTTTGGGGATCTTTGCCCCTCTGGACAATCAAGCTTCAACTCACCCTTTTAAGCAAGTCTTTTGAAAGAGACTTTCTGGCATGTAGTGGTTTTTTGTCAACGTTCAAGTGCTTTTGTTATTGTGATTTCAGTTAACAATGGCTTATAGTTATTTATATTTGAGCTCATGCTTAAGTTAAGTCAAGGGAAAGGCTGTGATACCATGGATGGTTAGATCATGTAGTAAACATGAATTAAATCTCTTTTGTTTAAATATATTTTTGTAGAATTAGAAGCCAGATTGAATATGTTGTTGCTAATTTCATAAACATGTAAACACTTGAACTTTAAACAAAAGCAAGTGGTTTATAACCGAGCCATGAAAGATTAAAATATTTAAGATTATTTACAGGTAAGCCTATTGAATACAGAAATGTTAAGTTTTGTAGTTTCTTCCTTCACAATATTCATAATATATATTAGTCAATCTTGTCGGGCATAATGGCCAGGGTGCTATGTAGTTCGTATATGCTCGTCTTCAGATAAAAACATATAGAAAATGGTTTACTAATTTTGCTGCCTGTTCGTCTCTGTATCCACTACAGAAAATATCGTACACAGACCAGATTTCAGCAACTTGGTCAAAGCTAAATCCAGTATTTTGTAAAAAAAAATTGAAGAATTCCTCTGTTGCATTTTTTTCTTTTAATTTCCTTTTGAAAATCTTAAAATGTCACTTGTACTAAATTGGATTTGCAACATCACTTTAACCTTCTCAGTAAATGACTTACGATTGTGATGAATTGCATAGATTTAGGCTGTAGACATTTTAATTTAAATAAATGTTGTTATAGAACACCACAAGCTTATCGTGACATATTTGAATTAATCTTAATGACTTGCCATATACTGTATTTTGAGATTCTAAGACCTCCAAATATCAAGAAGTGGGTGTAATGCAATTGATGGATCAAGTATTCTCAGTATACAAATTTTGTTGAGATTTTCTCTACCGTGCAACCCCCCTCTCCCACAACTGGTAGTGATGATTTCTGTTAAAAATCAATTAAATTTTTTATAAATATTTATTACACCCATTACTATCATATAATTAAATGTAAAGCATTTATCAGTCTAATTACAGAATGTTAGCATTGCATTCTTTGTCAGGATCTCCAGCGAGTGCCTTATGGTGGCCTTTAAAAAGTAATAATATTCATTTGGTATCAGTAATAATATTCATTACAGTAGGAACATTAATATACAGTAGTTATTAAATATAATAGTTGATAGCGTACTGATAGGCTATATAATCTATGATTATCTTGCAGTATAGAATGCAGACATTTTTTATATGCCTGATCAATATTTCTCCACCCCTTTTCCTTCCTTAGGCGAAACAGTTCTTACAAGTGCATGTACTAATTTATATTGTACAGTAAGCACTTAATATGATAAATTACTTCAAGGCTAGAATACGGTATGTCCTGTTTGGTCCTAGTGAATAAGTATAGTACTTTAGTTGACTGATATCACATAGAGTTATTATATTGTGAACAAATCATAATAATTTGCAAAATAAAGTTTATAAATACAATGTAATGTTCCTTGATAGAAATGTGTGTTACCTATAACTATAGTTATGCTAATTTGTATGTAATTTATTATTGTTACTATCATTAATTTAAATGATTTATATTCAGAAAATGGTTCTTTCAATTATGCCCTGAGAGGTCATGTAAAACAAGTGAAATGTAACATTACAAACATTAATACACCTATAATTAATATACCTGTAATTAAGGCCAAGTTTTAAAAATAATTTGTTACTAATTTCTTGTCAGCTTCAGCTTCAAATTATTATTATTATTTAATTGAAAGGAATCACAATTCTGTTATTTGTATCAGATTCACTGGAATACACTAGTATTCATCGACAAACAGTATACTGACTTGACTTAAAAATGCTAGAACATTTATAAAAATACAAAAGGGCCTTCGTTCTTTTTCCAAAAGAGAAACTATTATATTTTACTAGGCCGAAGGGTATTCTATTGAAGTGTAATGCAATGGAACACTAAATCCAAATTTGTACATAAAACATAGAGTAAGATTATTGAGGGTGCTACACATCAGTGATAGATATTTTATGTAAATTTGTCATTAAAAGTACAGTATGATTGGATATATCATGGGAAGATGCATAAATATATTATGCAAATTAAAAACAATTTATAAATATATTGACAGGATATGATTTCCGCTGCATGAACATTTTTAATGAAATTGGAAGCACTGTTGTCTTTATCATCCAAACTTGGAGGTAACAATCCGTCATTGATTTTAGTTCAGATTGTTTTTACCAGCTTGGCTTTTGTGGAAAGTGCATAACAAAATTATTTTGGAGTGAAAGTAAACTTTTTGACTTGGTAGTATGTAAATGTAAGATTTGGATTTGAGGTTAGCAAGACTCTTGAGTATTATGTAAGAAAACTTACAATTCTTCACAAATTTGAGCCTCTGGACATGTAGTAGCACTTATGATTTGGGAATAAGAACGATTGCCTGGCTTAGATTAATGGATATTCCATGAAAAAAATTAATGATTTTGCATCTGGTTACGATATTGTAGAATTGAATTGTGAATATTGTGATGATAAAATTTTGCATATTTTGATTAAGTGTCCATTGCTTGGAGTGTTCATACAACCAAGTCGTGATATGATTATCCAAGTTGAGGTATGGTCAGTGGTTATTTAGGAGTACATGTACGTCTCCCATTTAAAGATGTATTATTACTAGTTTACATATTATAGCTTGTTGTTTTGTAATCAGCTGTACACAAGAATGTTTACATTTTTAGAAGTATTATAGGATGTTTGGAAGATAACAGATAATTATTATGTATACCATTGAGGTATAGGCCTAATGGACTTTATTGCTCTTCTTACTCCAAATCATATGAAGACAAACAAGTGAGGTTGCATTTTGCAGAAGACAACCATATTGATGATGGTGCACTTACACTTTCACAATAAACCAAGTGACAACAACAATCATGATATAATTATTCCTAGTCTTAAATTATGTCATATGACATCACAACTATTAGCCATAAATGATTCCTCAAGGAATTATGTGAATGGTAACAGATCTCATCAGCAATATTTTGAAAACATAAGCAAGTTACTCTTCTGCTTGAATGAATAAATAAATATTGCAGTTTAAAAGATGTTTACGTCCTTAAAGATGTCATTTCCTGTATATCAT